TATCATAAAATTTAGGAAGATGCTTTATTGACTTCCCTTGGTGTTGTTATGACTGTGTTTGTTGCATTTTCAACTTTTAAGTAAAAAGTACACTCTTTTAAAAAATGTTATCTTAAAGTCCACAAGCATCTATGGATTATTTTTTAAAGGTAGGGCTGTGGGTGAGTCATTCAAAGTCTGAGAGAAAATAATGAGTACCTTTGCAGAGGCACACTTTGTACGTGGACATTTGAAACGACATGTCCTCTTTGGATTAAAGGATTCCTACACACCCTCCCCTCAGAGGAACTTTATTCTTGCAGAACTTGAGCTGCTCCTGTTCTCTTACCTCTCTGCAGCCTTGGATTTAGTTCCCTGGCTCCTCTATGCTATTCCATTTGCTTCTCTGTTCTGCCCCACTTCACAGCTGTGCAATGACACCACACACTTCCCGGCAGCAGATGCTGGGAGAAGCAGGTGCCAAAGCAGCAGAGGCTGTGAGAAATGGAGAGAATGCTTCAATGGGTGGGGCTCTTCTTCGCAGTCCCCAGCTGTCCTTCCTTCCCAGTCCCCCCGGGGCCAGGACAGGCTTAGGTGATCACAGGAGTGTTGTCATTTTCTCATCTATAAAATAGCCTTTCTGAGAATGCACTGAGGTCATACATATTAAAGAGCCTAATCTCTCAATATATGGTTATTTTTTCTATGCTGCCACCTTTTGAGTTAGCTTTCCAGGCAGAATTGATCAGTAAGGATGTTGGGGCAATTTTCCATCTATTTCAAGAAAACCATGTTTGTTAGGATGGGCAATAAGGGACTTCTATAATCCACATGAAGGTTTGTTTAGACGGGCCCCTGAGAGAAGAAAATAAATGAAAGGTGTCTGTGGGATATATTACGACACTTCTCTCATTCATTCATTCGCTCCACAAGTATTTATTGAGCACAGATTCCATGTTAGACTACCTTATAGGTCTCCAGGATACAGCACTGATACAGCAAATTTCCTGACCCTGTGGGAGCTAAGCTGAGCAGAAGAGACAAATACTAACAACTGAACACACACATGTGTAAGCTCCTGGATAGTATGTCAGGGGTGCTAAGTGCTGTGTAGAAAATCAAACTTGGATAACAATGACAAAGAGGGGGGTCGGGGGGGAAGGGGCGAGGTCACATATCTCAAATGGTGATCAGAGGAAGCTTCTCTAATAAGGTGGCATTTACATTTGTGTAGAGCCGTGTCTGGAGACTTCAGAAATTGTTCTTCAGTAAAACAAGCACATCGGATGCTCGGGAATTCCTACTATAAATGCCTCTAGGAGTAAATCATTTTTAATAGACCCCACCTCCATATGGAAGAAATTATTTTCCATGATAATCACGAAATAGAACAAATATAGCTCATGTATAAACTAAAATGTGCACACATCAAACAAAATCATACACTTGGAACCATCCAAAAGTTAAGCAAAAACCGAAGTCATAAGTGGTCACAGAGAATAGCAGAATTAATGGAACTCAAGGTCTATCTATTTTTATAATCATTGTGCTCCACAGGTTGTTCCAAATCTACTTTTGAAATGCCAGAGTACATGGTACCACAGACCAGGAGCCATGAGCAGTGCCTGAGCAAGAGGAGGGTCTGAGATCATTTATCCTCCTCATTCAGTAGGCAACTGAGGCCATGGGCACCAGTCTGTATTACCAGGACTTCCCCAAATTAACTTCCATGTAGAATACAGCACTCAATAATAACAATAACATGCTTTGGAGCTTACTTATGTTACTAAAATTTAACAGTAACAGAAATGCATATTCTGAGGAGGAAAAAGTATATTACTGACATTTGTTTAGATACGCTAGTGTTTGGTGATAAGAAGCAGAACAACTCGTAGTTGGTTTCATGAGAGTTTTAAATTCTCTGTGTGCCTGTTTACTGCCTGCCCCCATGACATGCCACTTCCACTGCCCCACCCTGATATACTGCTTGGTGGGGGAGCTGAGTGGCCCCTCTCTCTTCGTTTCCAGATCTAACATGCTCCCACTTCCAAATATGTTTCACACACTCTTTCATGGACTGTTGAGACTCTGGATACAACAGCCCATATTCTGGAAGTAAAGTGATCTGACATGGTTTCTGAGGCTCAACAGAAAAGCTTATTTGACTCATAAGTCAGAAAAACTCAAGAACCATGTGATTTCACTCATATGGGATATAAAGCTGAAAGCAACAAATGAATAAGCGAGACAAACAAACAAGTAAACAAACAAAAACTCCCAGTCGCAGACGACAGAATGGCAGTTACTGGAGGAAAAAGGGGTTGGGGGCAGGAAAGGGTAAAGGTGGTCAAGTAGGTGATGATGGAAGAAGACATGATTTTGGGTGGTGAGCACACAATACAATATGCAGATGATATATCATAGAACTGTACACTTCAAACTATATAATTTTATTAACCAATGTTACCCCCCAATAAATTTAATACAAAAATTTTCTAAAAGGTATGGGAGCTGCCTAGCTTTCCTATTCATTAGAAGAGGCTTACTTCACTTTTGAGAACAAGGAACAGATATTTGTGGAATACCTGTCACGTGCAAGATGGGAAACCAGGCAGTGAATAGAGGTATACAAAGTTATGAGACATGGTCTTGGACCATAAGACATTTAGTCTTGGACACAGCTTATAGAAGGCAAAATAAAAAAAAAATAGAGCAAATAAATTTAAGAGAAAAAAAAGCTTATTTAAAAGGGGTGGGGGTTACTTGAATAAGAGATGGTCAAGGAAAACTTCTGCATTCATACTTGACCTTCACTTGGAAAGGAGGCAATAGCACTGGAGAAGTTGAAAGGAAGAGGAGGGAGAAAGTCTTCAGTGGAGACTACATCAGGGCCTAGAAAATGTAGAGTACATTCCAAGTCCATCAGTAGTGTGGATGATGTCCAGAGTGCGCACTGAGATGCACCACAAAATACATTAGGAGAAGGAGAAGGAGGCCATGGTGGACCTTGAATGCCGGGCCGAGGGATGTACAATCCATAGCTGAAAGTCACCCAACACTTTAAGCAAGGAAATAACCAATGCAAAGCGGTATTTTAGGAAAATGAATCTGTTGGTAATATGAAGCAAGCACTGAGGTAGAGGGAGAAGGTAAAGAACAAGCAAATCTGAGAGCAGGCATAAATTGATAGCGACGTGTACTGAGGAAATTCTCCTTCAAATGTAATGGGAATGCATGGACATAGGTCAAAGACCATAAAATTAAAACTCTGAGTCTGACTTTATTTTTTTTTTTAATTTGGGGAATATGAAGAGAAGGGCCTGGGGAAAACTGTCACAGAACCAGCATCTGGGAAAATTCTCTTAGTTGGTTGGCGTGGTGCTCTGGACTAAAGATGACATGTTCTGAACTAAAACTTCCAAAGCAATAGTACAGAGAAGTCAGAGGGGGGCTGGGCATCCTCTCTGAACCTTCAAGTTCAAACATTAGTTTCTTCACAGAAGCCAGTGGAAGCTTTTTTGTCTTCAAAAACAAGAAAACAAGTGAAAGAATCACTTATGTGATGTTCCAAGAAAATTTTGTCTCGTGGTTGGTTCTACCAGGAGCAACCTGGCCATCAATGAGATGATCAATATGAAACCCTTGGATACCTTTAGGAATTTAAGATCCATCTTCTATTTCTAATTGTTTTCTTGAAAACACAAGAAGCTCCAGGAAAAAAAAAGCTATGTTTAAATCCTCTGAATAAGCTGTATTTCAGGGCTGCACTTAATTTGTGATTTCTCCTGTGCTAATTAAATCACCTCTCCTCTTCAAACAGAACTCTGTACAAAAAAACTTCAGTTCTCCAAAACAGAAAAATGCCTGTTCTTATTTTTGAGTTGTCTTAAGGGAGCAATGTAAGTTTAAGATGCTAGGCAATCAGTATATTTATCTTTATTATAGATAATGTACTCATTTTAAGGCATAGTCCATATTACAAATTTGGTATTATAACTGTTTTTTAAGTCACTCAAGTTAAAAATACTATAATTTAAATATTCGTGCATCAAAGCCCTTGTGATATATATATATTTTTGGGAGATATGAGCATATTTATGAGAGTTTCTCTTGGAAGTTCAACAAAAATACCCCATGTCCTAGGACATATGGGCAGGATTCTGGTCCTCTGGAGACGGGAGAGGAGAAATCAGGTTGGCTACGCACTCTCCTTTTCTGACTCAGTTTACCAAAATTCTTATACTTTGAAATAGAGGGAGATGATACATTTTGAGAGCCATAGGTGAAGTCATTTTCCCCAAATTCAAATTTTGGTTTCACTTTCTTAAACTACAAATTTCAATTTCCGCCGACACTTAACCCATTTTAACTTCCTGGAAAAACTGGGCATGGGGAGGGGAGAGGGCACAGCACCGTTCAGTAGTGTCTCTACAAGGTGGCGGAGAGCAAGGGCTTTCGCCCTCTGGAATCAATGTGATCCGCTGCCTGATTCAGTCACTATCAGGGTGATTTGCTCACTTATTAAAAAAACACATCCCTCTAAACGTCATGAATAATGAATTGAGATTTCTGCAACTCCCACCCTTCCTTTCCCTCCACAATTTAAATCAAGCTCTTTCAAATCCAACATACTACATCTTGATTGAAGACTGAAGCGGTTATAAATAGTAAGGGTTGAAACGTTTCCACAACGGTAGGTAGATGAAAAAAATAATCCTCCTGCCCATGGACAAGATGTCCCCAACAGCTCATTGGCACCACTGTCCTTCATCACAGAGCTATCTTGAAGGAACACAAGGAACAAAAATAGTCCATGGCCATGGCCATGGCCATGGCACCACTGTGCCTGCCTCCAAGCTGAACCCTCTGCATTTGTTTCCTGCCTCCCCCAGGCCAAGCCCACGATGCCATTTTCTTTAGGCCTAACTTGGCACATGGAAGCTGTGTGTAGCTCGAGTTCTTCACACAGTCTGCCTCGGAGGCTGGGCATTGTTTAAATGCTGCCTGCTCTGTGTACTTACATCTGTAACCTGTTTGCTGAGCACCAGTTTCCAAGCTGGAGAATTTTTCATCTTGCTTCAAATTCCTCCAAGTTTCATTTGAAATCCCTGCCAATGAAAGCAGTTAAATTATGTGTCAGAAATGTGAGACCTTTATAGAAAATGCCGCAAGAATGAGAAAGGACACTTTAGGCTGGGGCAGAGGGAAGGGGTGCACCATGGCAGAGAAGGCCTGATAGTAAGTGTTTGATAATTTCCAAATGACCCTCTGAAACCTGTGTCGTCTGACCTTCAGAACAGCCCTACAAGCCTCTTCCGTCTCTCGTGGAGGTCCCAATACCTTCCATGCAACAAATTTTTATTGAGCACCTAATACGTACCAGCAGCTGGTATCCTCACAACAGTCAAGGCCTCTACTCCCATAGAGCTCAGGGTTGAAAGGGGAGACAGATAATGAAAACAGACAAATAGATCGTCAAGGTAACTTAACACAGTGAGAGGAGCCATGAAGAAAACCCCTCAGGGTAATATGTTAGAGAGTGACCAAGGGTGGGAAGGCTGCTCTGAGTGGTGACATTGGAGCTGAGAGCGAAAAGTGGGTAGAACGCCATGGGGTGATCTGTGGGAAGGGCATGTCAAGCAGGAGGAAGTGTCAGTTCAGCAGCTTAGATGCAGGAATATGCTTGGCGTGTTCTGCAGACAGAAAGAAGGCCAGCGTGACTGACTGCAGCTGAGGGACAGAATGGTAGGGACCTCCCTACCTGAGCGTGTGTGACCATGCATAAAGAAAGAAGATGGAGGAGAAGGAGGAAATGAGGCTCATATTTGTTGAATGTTTACAATGAGCCAGGCCTTGAGCCAAGTTCACAGTCATAGGTGGCAGGGCTGGGCCTCCATCCAGGTTCTCTGACTCTAAATCCTTTAGTTTTCTACTACACCATGCTGCCTGGCCCACACCCTGCCATCTGGAAGAACAGCTTTGGTTCACCCAGGTGGAAACAGAGGAAAGAGAAGCAACATTGATATGCAGAATCCTACATGGGATCTTTTTTATCTGCCGGCCTATCTCGCGAGTGATTTTATATGAAGGGCATATGTTGACCTGATTTTTAAAAATTGTAATTTCTCTAATGCTAAGAAATAGTGTTTCCACTTCCTGTCCTTGGTGGCCTCTCGGCTGGAGAATCAGCTGATAGATTCTACAATCTGGGGTAAACTGAAGCAGAGCAGATAGAATACAATTATCAGATGTAACTAAAAAGGTGAAGAGAAAAGAAAAAATTAAACATATTTAATGCCTCCAGGAAATGAGTCCAAATAGATCTTGATCTGTGTTACAAGGAGATTGCAATGTAAGTTCTTTCCCCCACCCTCCTTTAAGCAAGTTTGAATACTCTCTCTGTCATTGCTTTCACATGAACTCAAATTGCTTTAGAAACCTGTCATATTAAATTAGCCAAAGCAGATAGTAATTCAGAGGGGTGCCAATGTGGCATTATTGAAAATTGCCGGTTGGAAGGCTTCCTTGCAGCATTATTCAGGAACAATAACTCACTTTCATCACCATGTGTCAGTATGAGCAAATGATGAGCTTTGTGTGGTTTTTAAATTAAACTTCCTTAAAAGTCCGTCACAAAGATAAAAAGTGTACAGAGAACACCTGCATTCATCAATGAGAGAACAGGCGAACAAGAGCACACCCATGTGCTGGCGCCACTCTGTAGTGTCGCTTGGTGTGAAATACACCAGCAACACTGCCGCTGTGGCAGCCCGGCAGAACAGTCAGGTTTCAGAAGCTCCTTGACCTTGACATCAGGGACAAGCTCAAAGGCCATGAGAATTAGGAATAGACAGCAGGAAACATTTAAAATAGAAGAACTCTTCCTTGTGATCTCAACAACGATCGATCATCTCCTTGGAGAGGCCTTCCACAACCACCCTGCTTCATCACTCCCTGTTAGGTTACCCTCATGTTTTTTTTTTCTTTTTTTTTTTTTAACAAGACTTAGTAAATTTTCATATTCCAATTCATCTCATTACTTGTTTGACTACTTCTACCCTTCCCACTCCAGAATGTAATCTCCATAAGAAGCAGGAGCTTAACCATCTTCCTTTGCCTCGAGGAACAATGCCAGGAACATAGTCAACAATAAATAAATATTTATTAAAGGACTTTTGAATTCACAAAAAAAATCTCATTACACCAGAGCAGAGGCTATTCTGTAACAGTATTGTTTTATGAGTTGTGGGCTAGAGTCCAGGCAGTCACCAGGAACTGTCTGTCCTGGGTTCTGCTGACCAGAGACTGGCTTTATGTCTAATGGTTACTTAGCAGAGAGAAGATTCGTGGTGGAAGAGCTGTGGAGCTATTGTGGGTCTTGGCATGCTCCTTAACAGGTCAAGAAAAATGTTATCCCAAACCATCAACAAAACAAAAAGACAACCTACTGAATGGGAGAAGACATTTGTAAATGATACATCTGATAAAGGATTACTATCCAAACTGTATAAGGAACTTCTGTAACTTAACATAAAAAAATTTTGTTTAATGGGCGGGAGACCTGAATAGACATTTCGCTAAAGAGGACATACAGATGACCAACAGACATAGGAAAAGATGTTGAACATCACAAATCATTAGGAAAATGCAAATCAATTGTAAATTGATGCAGCCAATATGGAAAACAGTATGGGGATTCATCAAAAAACAAAAAACATAGAGTTACTCTATAAGCTGGCAATTCCACTTCTGGGTATTTATTTAAGGAAAACAAATACTAATTTAAAAAGACATATGGGTCCTTATGTTCATTGTGGCATTATTCAGAATAGCCAAGATATGAAGGCAACATAGGTGTCCATTGATAGATGAATGGATAAAGAAGAGGTGGTACACATATACAATGGAATATTATACAGCAATAAAAAGAATAAAATCTTGCTATTTGCAACAACATGGAGGGACCGAGAGGGTATTGTGCGAAGTGAAATCAGTCAGACAGAAAAAGATAAATACTGTATAATCTTACTCATATGTGGAATCTAAAAGATAATGAATAAACAAAATCAAACAGAGAAAGATCCACAAATACAGAGAATAAGCTGACAGATGCTAAAGGGGAAGTGGGGTGGGTGAAATAAAAACAAGAACAAAATTTTCTAATGGGGTATACTAAAGAATAAAAATAATAGTAAAACATTTTAATTGTTATCCAATTCCTGAACACCTACTACTTTTTAAAAAGATTTTATTTATTTACTTTTAGAGAGGGGGAAGGGAGGGAGAAAGAGGGGGAGAAAAACATCAGTGTGTGGTTGCCTCTTGTGTGCCCCCTACTGGAGACCTGGCCCACAATGCAGACATGTACCCTAACCAGGAATCAAACCAGTGGCCCATTGGTTTGCAGGCCTGTACTCAACCCAGTGAGCCACACGAGCCAGGGTCTGAACACCTACTTCTTGATTTACACAATGAAATTCTTTTTAAAAAAATTCTTAATGTATTTTTTTCCATTACCATTTAACCTCCTCATATCCCCCTCACACAATGAAATTCTGAGGTTATCTCTGCAACCTATCTCAAAAAGTATAATATTTTCTTACAGGGCTTTTTTGGAAAAAGTTTCAGTCTGAGTCTACAGAAAGGGTGCAAGGATTGCACAGTGAACACTCTGGGTTAACCAACTACTAATATTCTGCCACATTTGCTTTCTCTCTCTGTACATTTATCTGGGGCTTGTGCTGATGTATGTGGATACACATGCCTATGTGTCTGTATATATGTATGTGCCTATGTGTGTTATCTGCATGTATATATCTCAGTGTGTTTATATGGGCCTTACGTGTACATGTGAGTGTGTGTGCATGTATGTATATTTTAGCTTAAACTATTTGAAAGTTAGTTGCAGAGATTGATGTATGTCATCCATAAATATTTCAGCATCAATCTACTACTAAGGCCGAGGCCCAGACTATAATCATGACATTCAAGCAATTTAAAATTTAGTACACTATCTTCTAATATGCAGTTCGTTTTCACATTTCCTTAAGTGTACCCAAGTGTCCTTTATAACTTATATTTTATCCAGGGTCCAGTTAAGGATCACACATTATATTTAACTGTCACATCTCTTTAATCTCCTTTTTCTCTAGAATGGTTCCCCAGACATGGTCTTTTGGGTTTTGTTTGTTTGTTTGTTTGTTTGTTTTGGTCCTGTATGACATTGAGATTTTTATAGAGTCCAGCTGTTTTACAGATTTTCCCTTCAATTTAATTTGCTTATTTCCTGTAATTATATGTGGTTAAAGTCTCACATTCAAAGCATCTCACATAACCAAAATAAAGTGGATGTGAAATAACCCACATTTCCGAAAGAAATTTTTAGGCTGAAGTACCAGACCAATGAAGAATAAAACACTCTGACATAGGTATCAGGTACCACCTGATCAGACCATTCCTGAATTTGTTAAAATCTTTGTAATGCAATTAAGTTAGTGCTTCCCACACATTAGTCACTCACATACTCCCTTCAAGGATTTTGCTGCATTGGAGTTCTACTTGTATAAGCATTTATGCAATCTTTTACTTTAGTTCACTTGACTTATTTAAACTATTTCTTATCCTAAGAAACAATACTGATATTAATGGTTTTGCTCTGCTTAGTATATTTTTCCAATGTTTACCAAGTATACATAAATATCAAAAAATATTTGTGCACATTTATAAGGGGGGAACTAAAAAATCCCAAAAATTATCTTCTGGAGGGCAGTCCCTGGGAGTACAGGCTGCACCCACTAGTCCAGTGTTTTAAGACCCCATCTGTATCAGTGCACCAGCTGGTGTTGTTGTAAGAGGTTGCATTCTGATTTAGTGAATTTTTTTGAAGACTCTTTCAACGTGTTTGCCCATTTCATGGTGGGTGATTTACAAGCACACTTGCCCACACAGCACTGAGTGTTCAGCAGTTTTTGACCCAAGTCAGCATGACCCCCACGCCCCACCTCCCCCATTCACCCGATCTTGCCCTCAGCAACTTTTTTTTGTATCCCCAGATGAAAAAATTCCTCAGAGGGAAATGTTTTGCTGATGTGGAAGAGGTGAACAAAAA